AAATGGGCCATAAGTAACATCAATTTCGAGAAGATAATCCAATATGAAAAGTTGTGTGTATTTTGAAAGTGATTTTAAAAATTAATTTTCAAACAAAAATTAAGATAATTTCTTTCCTCTTTTATAAAAAGTAAAAATAGATAAAGAGTGTGTTTGGTAGGGATTTTTGGGGAAAGAATTGATTTTTGAATAGTGATATGATAGGAAATGTGTGGTTGAAAAAGAAGAAAAAAGTATTGATGTGATGTAAAATATTATTTTATTGAAGAATGTGTGGTTGAAAATGAGAATTGATTTACTGTAGAAAATGAAAATTTTTACCAAACGGGCTCAAAAGCTATACCAAACGGGATCATAATTAATATTACTACATTAGTTTCTAGAAGAAAATCCAATATGGAGCGGCGGGTTAACTTCAAGAAAATTAAATCCACTGAGTGGACCAATCCTTTGTCCTCCATATGAATTTTGTCCAACTACACATGGGTGGACCCAAGGGGTTCGGGGGCACGTGCCCCAACTTTTGAGGTTTTTTTTATTATATAATATCATATTTATTATCGATTGAAATATAATTTTTAATTTAAATCAAAGTTAATAATTAATTTTAATAACATGTTTCGTGGAATTCGTAACTATTTAAATTTTATCAAAATTTAATAAAAAAGTGATTTTAATCTCAATAAAAAATGGGCAAAATCACAATAAATTTTAATTTTTCTCTCTTTCTCTCGCATTTTAAAAAAATCTTAACTTTCAATCAAACAACGGTGAAATATTGCCTTCTTAATACCATTTCAAAGTATTCACGATCTAGTTTTCTACGTCATTAATGGCGTACGAAACGATCAATCGTAGCAATGCTATGACTTGTTAAAGTAATCCGTTCAAAATTAGTATTTCGAAAATTTCGATAATATGCTAACTTTAAAAAAATTTCGGCAATCGTTCGCTAATCGAATCTACAAATTGCTTATATCATTTCAAAAACTCAAAACTTATTTTGAGAACTACATTATAAGCATATCAAATAATCCAAACAGATATCAAAAATAGTTAAAAATGCGTTAAACGTAAGTTTTAAAGAAGGACGTTTAACTCGCATTTCTTTAAAAAAATTTAATTCTTTCATTAACATTTATTATTTTTGTAATACAATTTTCTCAATATAATTTTCATCATTTTATTATGAAATTTCACATGGAATATGACATAAGTTTTTTTCGAAATTTTACATTTGAAAAGTCATATCCCATGTAAATTTTCGGATGCAAAATTACATGGAGTACAATTTTTTGGACGTAAATTTTCGATTATAAAATTTATCCTAATTTCTTTACAAGTTCGATTTTTGAGTACAATTTTTTGGAAGTAAATTTTCGATTATAAAATTTTTCCTAATTTCTTTACAAGTTCGATTGTGCCCCCTAACTTTTAAGTTTTGAGTCCGCCCCTACAACTACAAATATAACATTTTAACCCTCAATAGAAGAGAAAACAAGAAAGAGTCAAAAGAGATGAGGCCAGACCTGACAAATTGTTTATGGTCGAACACTGAGATTATCGATGAAAATTAAATTTGAATAAAATAATTTTTTATGTTCTTTAACGGTTGACATTTATAGCGACAATCTTGTTAAGAGAAGTTATTTAATAGCCTGTTTGAAAACATGCATCTTGAAATTAAATGACTCGCATAATATGAGCTCCGATACTATTTTTAGAGTTAGAATTTCAAATTTAAAGGTCAATTTTGTTTATAAAGCGTCTGATTTAAAAGTAACAAAACTAATAATAATTATTTATCATCTCATAATTTACAGTAAAAAAATGGCTTATGAAATAATCTCAGAATAATCTGTGCCCAAACAAGCCATAACTTATATCCAACAATCGATTTTTTTTTTTTTTAGCATGGATCCATTTGATTGATTTAAATTCCACTCAAGGAATTCAATTTCTACTTTGGTTGCTTGATACAAAAATGGAAATAGAGTTCAAATTTCAAGATACAACTACTTTAAGCTTTTTTTTTGTTCGAGTAATGTTATTCATCCTCAGTGGGATGAAAACACAGTCTATGTGGATTTAAATGATAGGTTAAAGCCTTGTATGAGAAGGATTAAAATCGGATTAAATTTGAAAATATAGCCGTTATTGTTGACTTTTATTAGACGGGTGAGGCTCAATAACGGCCATATTTTCAATTTTAATTGGATTTTAATCAGTCCCGAACGGGGCCTAAATGAGAAATGAATTTAAATGACTTATTTAATTTCACCTATCATTTAATGCCACATTGACGCCACGTAAACTGTGTTTTCATCCCCAGTGAGAATTAATAGCATTACTCTTTTTGTTAATTCCATGAAAAATGCATTCCTATGGATTACTTAAACTTCTTTTTTCCAACTTACATAAAATTAGGACGTCTTTCCACATTTGCCAATCAAGATCGTACCTTGATGATTTTGCAAAGTGGAACTTGGTGTGGTCGCTAATTTCGACAATGAAACAACCATTAATCACGGAGGAATCCATGTGCGTCAATCATGTGATTTGCAGGCAAAAATGCCCACTAAAAACAAATCCTCTCAAGCAACTTTTTCCCTGTGGAAAAAAGCCTGATTGATGGATAATGGGAACCACTCTCCTCTTACCTCGTTGGCATGCCATTTTCAATATCTAAATGCACATTCTTTATCTATTTGGATAAAGCATAACAAGAAAACACCAAATAAATATTATGTTATTAGGATCCGTTTGACAAGAGTTTTGAAAAGTCAAAAACTGCTTCACAAATAAAAATTATTCTATAAGAAGCAAAAACCCTTGCCAAACAGACCCTAAAACGAGCCATTAATATTGTCGAGTACTATATAAACTACTTATTTACCAAATAAGTCACAAAAGAAAATAAGGAATGTGAACAAAGGTCAAAGTACAGACATACAGATTAACGCCAGGAAGAAATAAGCTGTCAACAACGAACACAATCATTTTAAACAAAAATATAAAAGAATTGAATTGTATAGTCACATTAGTAACAATTAAATATATACGCTTAGGAAGAAAAAATAATTTTTAATAATAAAATTAGAGAAGAAAACAACAAATTGTGTATGCAACTAACTCAGGAAAAAAAAAAGGGCCAACCTCAGCACTTGTTGCTACTTACAGTTGATGTTAGAAAAAGTCGGAGTTTCAGTTTATACAGAGAAATAGGAATCTGTCATCAAGAGCTGCCACTGAAACCTCGGCTGTCCTTTTTAGCCAGTCCAATCTCCATATCTCGAGTATGTTGACCTTCGCTACTCGAGCCCGATGGATTTAACCCGTACTCACTGGTTGGATTACTGTACTGATCACTGCTGGCGTAATCCTTACTGGTCAAGGCCATTTTGCGGAATTTTTTCATGTCCTCTTTGTATTGTGCTGTGTCATAGTCGGAACTTCCATGAGAACTATACATGGTACTATGTCCGGGTCTAATTCCTTCGTTAAGATCAGACAGGGATACATCACCTTCTAAAGCTCTCACCACCTGCCCAAATTTGTAATATATCGACAACTTTAGAACATAGATTCAGACAAATAAAGGAGAACAAGCAAGCTTAGATTAGATTTGTGTTGAAAGTCTGTCTAAGAAGTTGTAAAAGAATGCCTAAAGTCCAGAAATATTTAATAATGCCTGGGTATAGTTGCTTAAATTCGCCGGTTTATACAAGCTCTTCAAATATTTAAAGTTAGGCAGTTACCTGGCTCATTCGTGGCCTACGCCTTGCTGAATGACGAACGCAAGCAGCTGCGCATGCCACCATGCTAGCAAGTTCATTATGATTGTAGTCATTTTGTAGTCGTGAATCAACAAGGGTATCAAAGTTTCCATCTTCCAAAGCTCGTGTGAGCAAGGGCCGTGCCTATATACATATACGTTCTATTAATATTCTCTTTTCAAGAATACACAATTTATTTATGCTCGTGAGGAGACTAATAAGAAAGTAACGGCCCAAAGAATAGGTGGAGTGAGAGAGAGACATCATTGTGCAAGTGTCTACTCACCCAATCTACCAAACTATCATCCATGTAAGATTGATTCGAATCAATAGGTCGTCGACCAGTAATCAACTCGAGAAGCATGACTCCAAAGGAGAATACATCGGACTTCTCAGTAAGTTTTCCAGAGGATGCGTATTCCGGAGCCAAATACCTGCACAGGACCATGAAAATGTAACAAACACGATAATCAAAATCCAAACTAGATACTTTGACAATAACCATTTGTGTATAGTTGAATGAGTAAAAGATCTAATACCCGAATGTTCCCATCACTCTTGTGGAGACATGAGTATCTGCATCTGAAGAAAACTTTGCAAGACCAAAATCTGCTACCTGAGAAAATAAATGGCATTGTCATTCATTAATGACCATAATGAAACCAACAAAATAAGATATTTCTATTGTATGAACAACTTGTGATAAAGGACTTCACCTTTGCTTCAAAGTTAAAATCCAAAAGAATATTAGATGCTTTGATATCCCGATGAATAATTTTTGGATGACCTGTATGTAGAAAATACTAATTTAGAATCAAAGTAAATTTAAAAGACAATAGAAAATTAACCCCCATTTCTCCATTGTTAGCACTTACAATCTTCATGAAGATATGCCAGACCCTTCGCAGCCCCGAGAGCAATCTTTAACCGTGTGGGCCAATTCATTGTAGGTCTCCCCTTTCCTGATATATGGTAAAAACCAGTTAGTTTTGCAATACTAATCATAAAGTAACGTGATAAAAAATTTCCGTTTTGAAAGTCAACAAAACTTGATGACAGAATAAGAAAGGTTGTAAAAACTAACCATGCAAGTGGAATTCCAAGGTATTATTTTGAACAAACTCATATACGAGCAATCTGTGGGTCCCAGTTATGCAATATCCAACCAAAGAAACAAGATGTTTGTGATGCACTCGGCTGATGATCTCGACTTCAGCTCGGAATTCACGCTCCCCCTGTCCACTCCCTGATTTAAGCTGCTTAACTGCAACCTCTTTACCATTCGGAAGGACTCCTCGGTGCACATAACCAAAACCACCTTGCCCAAGAAGGTTGGCATCGGAGAAGCCATCTGTTGCCATAGCTAATTCTTCATAAGTAAATGTGCTCTTAGAAAACCCTAAAGCCATGCCGGGAGAAGGCGGTGGAAGTGGAGTTTCAGGGCCAGAATAATTCGAACCCGAACCTCCGCTGCTGCTCATGTAAGGAGCTGGAGGTGGGGGAGGTTGAGGTGAAGGAGCACGTATGGGCGAGTGAGGAGGTCTTGACAAGCCGGCAGGTGGTGGAGAAGGTTTAGGTGGTATTGTCACAACATGATCCGCAGGTTGCGGCGCATTACTCTGCCAATTCTGACCTTGTCCGCCATAGGGATCAACTATGAACACCAATATATATCCAAAATGAGCAACCAAAATTAAATTTTATGAAGGAAATCTACAATCAATGAATAGTATACTGCATTGGAAAATATTCATACATCCAATGATTCAAGACTTCAAATATCCTCAAACTTAAAGCAATTATTCTTACAATCTTAACATCTTGGGACTTACATTCAGGTGTCTTCAGTTTTTATCTTAAATTATCATTAGATAGATTAAAATAATTACATAACAATTAATATTTTACCACAAGATCAATTTCATTGATTACAATCTCTGAATTGAAAACTAATGCATTGTTTGATTTCTATAAACATTAGCACATAAATCAGCTCCAAAATAATCTCGAAGAATATCTGAATAAACTGAAAAATCTTGAAGAATTGATGTAAATGTTCTTACCTTTGTGCCCAGTTGGTGGTGGAGGAACATAGTAATCTGGGGGGCCATGGGGTCTTCTTTTCTTCTTCTTACAACATATAAACAGAATACTGAGAATTGCAAGTATCACAACACCCCCTATGGCTATCCCAACCACCGTCCCCGTCGATATTCCACCACCGCCAGAAGACGGCGATGGCGGGGACGGCGGAGATCTTGGACATGGGCCGCCTCTCCCTCACAACCTGCTCGGTGCAGGAGGAGAATTCCTAGCGGGTGGAGCCGGCGGAGAATTCCCACCAGTGGGTGGCGAAGGGGGGGAGGGAGGAGACCTAGATGGAGAAGGTGGTGTTGGGACGGTGGGGGAGTTAGTAGGAGGTGGGGTTGAGGCGGGAGGAGTTGGTGGAGAAACTGGAGCAGGTGTATTGGAAGGCGGAGGTGGTGGTGGGGATGAAGCTGGTGGCGGAGAGGTGGCTGGGGGAGTTGGGCTTGCAGGTGGTGGAGAAGTTGTTGGAGTAGGAGGCGGCGTTGATGCTGGAGGTGGCGTTGATGCTGAAGGCGCAGGCGGCGGCGACGTAGGATTTGTTGGTGGTGAAGTAGGAGCCGGCGCAGCTCCCGGCGTTGGTGAAGACATTTTCCGATTAGTCCCTGATTACAAAATCTACTACAAATTCTTTCAGATTATACGAATGAATTTATTATAGATATACTGAACAAGGATGAACAGATGTCGGAAAATTTCGTTAAGTTCGATAGTTTCGCCTAGTCTTGTTTCTCTCTCTAGATTTTTGAGAGAGAGAGTGAGTATTCTTTGGGAATAAACTATAAAGAGAAAAAGGTGAGAAGCCAAATTTACTTTATCTTTTAATTAATAAATTATTTAGAAACTTTATGCAAGCCAGCGAGTAAAGAGCGTGTTTGGTTAACCACAAAATGAAAAGTTTCTAATCTAAAATTCCAAAAAAAAAAAAAAATACTGAAAAAGCTAAAAAATGAGAATATCTGGCTAGTAAGTGAAAAGTGTACCTTTTTATCGATCAAAATAAAAATAATTAAATTGCTTACTTAGATAATAATTCAAGAATTAGAATCAGAAATCGTGAGATTACGTACGATAAAAAGGAATAGAATTGGAGGCATACATCTCATTGTCTCCATTCAAAAGGAATTGAGATAGGTTGACTTGCCACCCAATACGTTAATTTTCCACCACACATTTTCTCGTTTTGTATGCTCATTGCCTTTTGATTTTGTCTAGTAAAGTCAATCGATCGTTCATCAATTCTGTGTTGCGATATACTCTTTTTGTTGATTAAATAATCGATCGAGTCACGCTTTATTATCATACTCATCTAGCTCCTACACGTGCCTTTTGTCAAGAATTCTTTATGTGGACTCATGATTTTATTGTACTGAAGCCCACGTTGATTTGATTGTGTCGGGATTTTTGCACTTAAATAACATATATATCCGAGATCGAGCAAAGACTTTTAATGTTGCTCTTTGAACAAGGCTTTCAATTGTTTATCAGCCAAATGATGGAGGGCTTGCAATCCTTCGAAAAGGAGAGTCTCGATGGTTAATGTGCATTTTGCTTAGACATGCTCTTAAAGTCGTCGTGCAAATATCCGTTATGATCCTAATCAAGTTGCAAAAAAAGGAAGCACTAATCTCATGTTGACATGTTAATAAATATTTTAAAATCAATCATATCAAGTTCATGTTAGTTCTCACAATTTTTGCTAAATACAATTTTGATTGTCTAAACACGATGATTGTCATTAGTTTGTCTGGTGTACGCATTTCGTATTTTGTTTTGCTTCCATTGCAAATATTAACACGTAATGAAATATATAAATACAAAACATATGTAGGAAATCGAGATTAGAGAAAAGTGTCACGAGGGTAAACCAAACGGCATTGCACAAACCCGAGATTAGAGAAAAGTATCACGGCATTGCACAAAACCAAACCTTCCAACATTGAACAAACAAGTTTATGAGATTATCCTTCCATCGATTTCTAAATTCCAGTGAGGATTAATATAAAATCATGCTGTCTTGTAAATAAAAGCAAAGGGTTGCATGGGCTTCTTAATATTAAAATCAAGTCCATCTATCATGATCCAACCTTAGAGAACTAACTTCTATTTTAACGCCATTAAATATGTTTGGATGCATACTTTGTTTCCTGAACTTGACCTCTTGGTACTCAAGGTGATCCAAATTCTTATTTTATCCTCTTCCCTACTTCTCTATTTGTGCAGACAGAGTAGTGTATTTTGGTTTTAATATAATTGAATAGAGTTCATCTTTCCATCAGTACCTGTCCGCCAGATAAAAGAAGAACGCCCAACTTTCCATCAGAAATGGCCTTTAATCCCATCTTCCACCACCTCTCTCTATCTTCCATTGACCTCTCCTCCACGCTCGACACATTGCTTTCCGGAACTGGCTCTACAGCTGCTGCCAGAAGCCCTGAGAAGTAGAAATGACATTATGTTAACAAAAGGATATTATTTGCATATGTAAAATGCAGCAAGAGACGGACCTTGTGAGCTTAATGAACATCGAATGATCCGATCAATCCTCGAAAGATCTAAGCTCTGCATTATAATATTGTTATAGTAAAAATTAACAATCAATCTAACATACAGTTATCAAATTCTAATTCTGAATTGAAGAAATAAACTTCTATCAAATAACTTGGATATTGTATAATACATGCCAACACTAAGGAATAACAGAGCCTCTAACTCTAGATAGACTACTTGACAATGTCTATTTATCCGTATGTGACAAAGCAATTAGCATTGAAATTTGATCACTGATTCTAAGTTTGCCTTTAATTTTAATTTCAAAGAAAGATGAAGTACCGCATATTTTGAAGCATTAGATGATCTAAGTAGAAACAACAATAGCTTCACAATCTTTTTGATGGTGATGTACACTGCAACAAAGTCTTCACATGAAACCACATTCCTTTCAGGCATTTCATCAAACACTCTCACTGCATCTCCCAAAACCTCACACTTTATGCACAAAAATACCAAATTTCTTATTCCAGATTAACTGAACCAAATGGGCACTTCAGAATCAATTACCCCAAAAACCCAATACACAGCCCAGGATAACTGAACCAAAAATTCAAATTTTGGAAACAATACCAAATCCATATCATCAACTAGATGCAAAACCAAATAAATTCCATAACAATTGGAACCAAAACCAAACAAATTTCAAACTGTTCGGAAATAACTTACCGGACTGCTCCAATAAGCTCAGCCGATTCCGGACGAAATTGAGGCTCACCCATGGTAGAACTAGATGCGCTTGGCTGTGAGAAATGTTGTGGTGGTGCTCAACGATCGAGAGGGTGGCCAGATGTGGAAGTAACTGACGAAAAACCGTGACTGCACTCGCGGTTTTGGATGGGATTTGGGGGTATTTCTGGCGGTCGGTGGGCAGGCGATGGTCGAAGGTTGTACAGGGAGGCGAGGGAGTGCCGGTGTTGTGGGGATCCGGCAGCTTAGGTGATGGGTGGTGGAAGGATGAGGTGGATCCGTAGCTGAGGAAGACGTTTGTTTTGAAAAATCGAAAACAGAAAACGATCTGAAAACATCAAAGAGAATAGGCCCTAAGCTTTTTCATTTGTACCGAAAATGAATGACAATGAATTTGACAACCTCTCACATGCGACGAGCCCTGCGTGATTAAAAAATTTCAAAAAAAAAACGTGGGGCCCCTTTATTGTGAGTATCGATAAACCTGTATGTCAACCATTTTTTGTACACTAAAGAGAAAAAAGTGAGAAGCCAAATTTACTTTATTTTTTAATTAATAAATTATTTAGAAACTTTAAGCAAGCTAGCGAGAAAAGAGCGTGTTTGGTTAACCATAAAACGAAAAATTAGTTTCTAGTCTAAAAATAAAAATAAAAATAAATAAATCCTACTGAAAAAGCTCAAAATGAGAATATTTGGCTAGTGAGTGTAAAGTGTACCTTTTTTTTTATTTTTTATTTTCAGTTAAAATACAAATTCAAAATTTTAAAATCCAAAACAAATAATATTCAAACTAACTATATCAATATCTAAAGCAAGCACTCGAAACAAACAATATTCAAAACAATTTTTTTTTATTCTTCACGGGGCGGGTTATGCCCATCCCTGCTAATTCGTCGGGATGAGTTTTTTTGCCATCACTAATCGAGTCACACTTTATTATCATGCTCATCTAGCTCCTGGACGTACCTTTTGTCAATAATTCCTTATGTAGACTCGTGATTTTATTGTACTGAAACCCACGTTGATTTGATTGTGTTAGGATTTTTGTACTTAAATAACATCTATATCTGAGATCGAGCAAAGACTTAGTGTTGCTTTTTGAACAATGTTTTCAATTGTTTATCAACCAAATGATGGAGGGCTTGCAATCCTTCGAAAAGGAGAATCTCGACGGTCAATGTGCCTTTCGGTTGGACATGCTTTTAAAGTCGAGGTATAAATATTTATTATGGCACGTGGACATACAACGAGTCATTTGCCACTCGCTTGAAGCCCATATTATATAAGAATAGGCAAACATGCTCTGAGTAATCCATGAAGAGAAATTATTATTTTTTAAAATTAAATTAGCCGTTGAACGTTTTATATAATAATTCATATTATTAATATACAATATTAAAATAATTGGTGTGCGTTTTGATTTCACATTCTCATGGTGGGGAATAGGGTTGTCCGTGGGTCGGTTCGATTCGATTTTGAAGAGACCCAAACCGACTCAAAACTTTCGGGTATTTAATAAATGGAACTGTCGGGTCCAAATATAATTATGGAACCGTTCGGGTTCGGGTCGAGTCGGGTCGGTTCCGTACCATAATTAAATTTTTTAATATTTACAGCAACACTACATAAATACAACTAATGATATTTCATTCGTAACTTTTACAAATTAATGTAGCTCAATTCAAAAACATATAAATAACTAGCCGTCCAATAAGATTAATTTAATGCATACAAATACCAAAAAGTAGATATTAATATTACAGCAAAACTACATAAAGTATATTCATTTGATTTCGGTTCGGGTCTCTTGAGAACCGAACCGAACCGACCCACGGACAGCCCTATTGGTGGGTGGCCGGCCTTAGTCAGATTTGGTTCCTCAAATTTGCCCATCATCATCTCATTTTCAATTTGGTTAAATTTAATTTGTGACCACTGAACTTTTAGTCATATTTCAATTGGATTATTAATCTAATTATTTTATTGCTCTATCACGTTTCGTGATCTATCGTCCCCTAACCTAAAAGAAACTGCTTAATTGAAAAATCATACTGTAATAACTATTTTATGTAATCACTGCGTGGCGATAGTTATGACAAATGGATCGAACGTCTCATGCTCGAATTTAATCAAGTCCACAATGGATCTCTCCAGCCACCTCAAAAAGGCTCCACAAGTTGTAAAAATTGTAGGTGGTAACTTTTTTTTTTTCAATATATAAAGGAGTGACTCACAATCCAGTTCAACTTGACCCAATATGAGCCGAGCTCACCGTCTATAGCCCAAGATCACTTTTTGGCTACGAAGTCGACTTGTAGCTCGATTCTCTAACCAATGAGTTGTGTTTGGCTCGCATGTCAAGCTGAGTCAAGTGAAATAGATAAATCCCAAAAATCTGAAAATTAACCAAGGAAAAATTTACTGGTTAAACAAGAATTATGACATTGTCTTTACATTATAAAGTTTTAAATGTATTTTTTATTTTAGCTCTTTTACGACATAGAGTAATGGTAAATTGACATAACAAGAAACAATTACGTGGAGAATCCATTGAAGTATGATTGTCAATCATACAATTTAATCAATTCGGAAGAGGACAATTGATGGAGTGAAATTTTACAATAAATTAAAGCACACTGACCCAACTTAACACTAAATTGAAGTTAAGTGATACTATCGAGATAAATTAAAGTACAGTGACCCAATTGAGATATAGTTGAAATTTGACAAACATAAATAAATTGAATCGAAACTTGAATATTTCAAATGAAGGAAAAGACGAACTCTAGTTGTAGTACGATCTAGTCAATTTTAAAATTGTCATTTAGTCGGATTCGTTTCCTGAATTTACCCTTCACCGTCTGAGTTATACGTTTTAATTAATTAATTAATTAATTTTGGTTTATTTGATTTATTTATGCAATATCAACTTTGGATTCCATTGCATATATAGTTTTCGTGTGTGTGTGTATATATATATATTTTTAATTAAAAAAATGAAATTGGCAAATAAAAAAAAGAGAAATAAATTACATCGCATCTTGAATTCTAACTTTGTTATAATTAGTCAATTTTAGACTGAAATTATGCAAGAAAATGTTTGGAAGAAAGTTTCACTTTAGAAACAAAAAATAGTTACATATCTGCTAGCGGGGTATTGACATGAAAATGACGATTGACGGTTTATAATGTCATAATATGTATGCTTACAATAAATATAATACGATATTGTATATTGTTGACATAAAATTTAATTGACAAAACTATCATTGAGAGATTGAAATTAGTAGTTAATTGTGACTCTGTGATCGCTAAATAATACTGGAAATCGGAGGAATAATTTTCAAAGGTATTTCAATGCTTAAGCTATATTGATTATGAAAATAAATTTGAATTGTATTGTAATGTGTTACCTTGTAGGGTTATGATGGTTGCACTTGCAGTCATTGTAGTGCTTGTAATTGATGGTTGCTCTCAATGATTTCATTTTCTATATGCAAGATGGATTCTTTTGGGATAAAATTTTCGTGGATATGCCTTTTGCACACCCTCCTAGAAAGAACCTTTCCAAGAGGGCGTGCAAAAGGCATATCCACAAAAATTTGTATCTATCGACTTATTTGTATCAGTTTGAAATCAACCAATGAGTTATATCAATATTTATGTGAATCCGGTCTCCATGCGACATATGCGTTAGATATAGTCACTACAGTTTGCCCATCATGCATTAAGAATGATGAAGAGTCGTGCGTAGTTTGCTTAACATGTCGTCTTCCGTTTCTCAAATTTGTTTAGGACTATTGCACATTCATCTGACCAATCGGCTCATGCACCATATTGGTTGATATTTTTCTTGACTATAGTAACTTTTAAGAATCATTTTAGTGGTGGGGTTCTTTATAACTTTGGTGATAATAAAATCGAATCAAGAACCCAGTAGAACGACCAATGTACTTCAACACACAAGAAGTAAAAAAAGAGCAACAAGGATTTTTACGATGGATAGGTAAAAAACACTTGGAACTTATCAAATTATTTTTCCATTGATTATTAAACTTTAAAAAAAATTCGGATAGTCACCAAACTTATATAGTTCCATGGACCATCAAACTTTAAAATTTTCAATTGGTCACCGAATTATCAAGTCCCTATTTCATCCATCATTCAATATTATCCTTAATTGACGGCGACAAATTAGTAAAAAACACGCTTATTAAAAATGTGATTAATGAGAAAAAGTGATAAAAATACATATAAATAATAATAAAAAACAAGTAAATGTTAAAACTGACTTGCATTTCTAGTAAGCTCTTGTTTGAGCCACATTATTTGGCAAATAATGTATTTCTAATAGTGGATTGATGAATAATGTGTGGTTAAAAAATAGGACTTTGCTACAAGTACAGGAATTCAAAATTCCTATACCTGCCAGGGAACACACAATAGGGGGGTGGGTGGGGGAATTTTGGCAATTTTATAATCACATGGGGCCCACCGCCATGTGAGAGAAACTTTGATACACACAATAGGGGGGTGGGTGGGGGAGTTTTGGCAATTTTTTAATCACATGGGGCCCACCGCCATGTGAGAGAAACTTTGAATTCCCGTAGGAAATCTGTGAATTTTATCCTGTACTCAAAAAGCATTTTTCTAAAAAATATGAAAAAGTTTTGAATTTGTATGTAATATTATTTTATTGAAGGTTGTGTTGTTGAAAAGAAAAGAGAGAAAAATATATTTTAGAAATAATGAGGATCAAATAAGGGGTATATGAAAGAGCATTTTCAGGTCAGTCACATCAATAATGTGTAATGTCAGCATTTTATTTTGTCAAGTTACCAATTTCATCAATTTTTTTAACGTTGAGTTATTAAATGATTGATGAGATGACAATTTGATAAGCTTGGTGACTATCAGAAAAACTTTTAAAGTTTGATGACCAATAAGATAATGATTTAATAAGTTTGGTGACCATCATCTGAAAAAAAAATTATACTTCATTGGTCAATAAAAAATAGGGATAATTGTAGCAAAAGTCTCAAACATTTGAAACATCAGCAGACTTTCCTCGAACCTTTGATTTGTTGCAGCCGTCACCCCTAACATTTCTAAATATTGCAAGTGAAGCCCTTTTGGACGATTTCTATCCATAATTCCGTTAGTTGACAAAAGATTTAACTTTGACCACATCTTTAATATTTTAAAAAGGGGCAAACAAGTAATTTATATTTATCCCATTAAATAATTAAATAAAAATAAGAAATCCCCACCCACCTACACTTCAAACCTAAAATCCACACCATTGTCTTCTTACTCTCGCCATCTCATTATCATTTTTACCGTGTTTTTTCGATTTATTGGAAAAAAGCACATTTTATGTCCACTCTGGTATCTTCGAGGTAGAGACACGCCCAGGAAGCCCTCGGAAAGAACTTGGTCTTGATTCTGCTGCAAAAGTAAAAAACCTAGACACTTCACGATAACCAGAGTGTCTGGTCAAGTAAATAAGGTTGTTCACAGGTGCTTAAGATGTACCCATCCCTATTGTTTATTGGAACCCAAATTTGGGCCAAAATACCCCCTCTAGGCCATTCTTTAAATAGGTATACTCTTTTGTCCCTTTTTAAAATATTAAAAATATGATTAAAGTTAAATTTTTGATCAGCTGACGGAATTATAGATGGAAACTGTCCAAAAGGATTTCACCTACAACATTTAGAAATGTTTGGGGTGACAGATGCAACAAATCAAATGTTTGGAGAAAGTATGCTAATATTTCAAAGGTTTTGAACTTTTTCTGCAATTATCCCTAAACAATATTATACAAAATGGCTATTTGGACTTTTTAACTCCTCCCTCCCAAAACCCCAAATTTATTAAGAGGCCTTCAACCCTGAAAGGTAAAGCTTTGGTGTTGTCATGTGTTAAGCTCTCATAAATCCACAGGCTGTATTTGTTGAATATTTACATGAATTTGCCTTGCATTAATAAATCACCCTTTCAAGCCCAACAAATCTTCTGCTTTGACTTCTTTTGAACTATTTAGAGAAAAAAATGCAGGCATCAATGCCATCCTCTGTTGATAGAAACACGCTTTCCTTCCCAATTTTGTCGATGAATTTAGTAACTATCAACTTCTCCATTACGTCTCGTCTTGGACTTATTAAAATCATCTGCACAAATGGGGAAAAATCGAAATTGTCGGTATATATTTTCACTCATATGACCTTTAGAGAAAAACGTATAGGGGAAGAATTACGTGCTTTTACCTTGATTCATTTTGTTTCTAAATTTTTCTCACTTCAACAAATGTTTCCACTCCCGTTATGTCCATTACTGTCACACCTGTATATCTCACTAAACTTATTAGCGAGTTTACTCAAATAAACAACTATTGAAGATATGTTTAGCATGCTAGGCTGACTAAATGGTCGGAAATAGGAGACAGGATTTCAGTATCATACCTCCCAAATCTAGTAATACAAATTCAATGACATTTCCTAGGGGTGGACGCGGGTCGGTTCAATTCGGTTCCAGAAATTTTCGGGTATTTAGTGAATGGAACCGTCGGTTCCAAATATAATTTTGGAACCGTTCGGGTTCAGTTCGGTTCTATTCGGTTCTGTACTATAATTAAATTTTTTAATATTTAAAATAATATTACACAAATACACCTGAAAGTAGATACTAATATTAGCCCCTGTTTGGAGGGCATTTTTTTCCCATTTCTAGAAATTTTCTTACCGTTATTTTAACAAAAAAAATATTTTTTTGTTATAAATATGAAAAATTCTATATTTTTATAATTTTATTTATACAATAATACTTGCCAAATCGGAACAAATCGCGACCCACGCAACCCGTGACCAGCATGGGCTCGACCTGGATGGGTTAGCGAGCGCGTCCGAGTTGTAGTCCAAAATTTGTGAGTCGACCCGAAACCCGTAACAGACCGGCTCATATGTTGGCGGGCCGACCCAGTCGGTCCGGCCCAGACCACACAGATTGACACCTCTAAATGTGTTACCTTGTAGGGTTATGATGGTTTGAGGAATTAGCACTTATTCCAATAGAAGTCAATTCCTCGAACGTTGTCATTGATGGTTCCTCTCGAAGATTTCATTTTCTATATGCAAGATGGATTCATTTTGGGATAAGATTTTTGTGTATATGCATTTAGTCAATTCCTGGAACCTTGGGTCTATTGACTAAGTGTTAATTCCTTGAACCTTGGGTCTATTGACTAAGTGCTACTTGCTGGAACCTTAGGTCTATTGACTAAGTGTTAATTCCTTGAACCTTGGGTCTATTGACTAAGGCATATCCACGAAAATCTTATCCATAAAAAGAATCCATCTTGCACAGAGAAAATGAAATCATTGAGAGCAACCACGAATTACAAGGTTTGAGGAATTAACTTCTATTGACTAAGTGCTAATTCCATTCAATATTATCCTTAATTGACGGCGACAAACTAGTAAAAAACACACTTATAAAAAAATGTGATTAATGAGAAAAAGTTATAAAAATACATATAAATAACAAAAAATACAAGTAAATGTTAAAACTCAATTGCATTTTTGGTAAGCTCTTTTAGCCCTTCTTTAGCCCCATTATTTGGCAAAGAATGTATTGAGTTTACGTGTAATATTATTTTATTGAGATGACAATTTGATAAGTTTGGTGACCATCCGAAAAACTTTTAATGTTTGATGACCAATGAGATAATGATTTAATAAGTTCGATAACCATCATCTGAAATTTTTTTAAACTTCATTGCTCAATAAAAAATATTATACAAAATGGCCTTTTGGACTTTTAACTCCTCCCTCCCAAAACCCCAAATTTATTAAGAGGCCATCAACCCTGAAAGGTAAAGCTTTGGTGTTGTCACATGTCAAGTTCTCATAAATCCACAGGCTATATTTTTCGTATATTTACATGAATTTGCCTTGCATTTTTAAATCACCCTTTCAAGCCCTACAAATCTTCTTCTTTGACTTCTTTTGAACTATTTAGAGAAAAATTGCAGGCATCAATGGCATCCTCTGTTGATAGAAACACGTTTTCCTTCCCAATTTTGTCGATGAATTTAGTAACAATCAACTTCTCCATTACGTCTCGTCTTGGATTTATTAAAATCATCTGCAAAAATGGGGAAAAATCGAAATTTTTGGTAACATATTTTCACTCATATGACCTTCAGAGAAAAACGTATAGGGGAATAATTACGTGCTTTTACCTTGATTCCTTTTGTTTCTAAATTTTTTCTCACTTCAACAAACGTTTCCACTCCCATTATGTCGATTGCCGTCACACCTATATATCTCATTAAACTTATTAGCGGGTTTACTCAAATGAACAACTATTGACGACATGTTTAGTATGCTAGGCTGACTAAATGGTCGGAAATAGGGGACAGGATTTCAGTATCATACCTCCCAAATCTAGTAATACAAATTCAATGACATTTCCTGAAGATTCTGTGAGTTCTTGTTCATCTCTAACCCATCTTGCTATCCTGATCCAAGAAATTCCACCCAGAAAAAAATGAAAGATGAGTAATTAAGAGAATGAATTAACAAAAATAAGTAATAATTTATCTGGTTATAGAAAAAACCTTTCACTTAAATAACTGCAATTTGCAAAGTACATAGGGGAACCAAGCTTCAGAATTAGGATCCCTGGAATCCCAGTTGCACAAGGATATTGCTCTACGTCGCGATACAACTTCGTGTCTAGTATTTTTCCGAGCTTGCACGAAGCAGGCCTTGCTATGTACAACAGTGCTCTGATTAAAGCTAGTCCCACCTGAAAATAAGCCAAACAATTATAACATGTTTGGTATATGGAGTGGAACGACAATATTGAAAAGAAAAGAAAAAGTTGAAATTTTGACTATTATATTATTTCTTACTGTCTACCCAAGTTAAACTGAACTGGTACAAGTTAATTCGACTCGTCTAAAAGGTTAAACTCTTGGAGAGAATTTGAAGTTATTTAACTTTTGAGTTTACGCACCCTCTCATGCAGGTCTAACTAGTTGATGTTATCGTCCCACATTTTATTAACTTTTTCCCTACATCAAGACCTGGGGGTGCAAGATTCGTGTGCCTGATGCTCCCTTAGTTACTCAGTATCTACCCTCCTGACCTATAAAACCAATTAGACTATAATTTAAGAAATTACAAATATAAGCATGGATCAAAAGTATAGACACGATTTTGGAAGCTAAGGTGGGCACAATTCACGGGGATTTGAGCGCTGGATTCCCTATCATCTCGTGAGATATATTAATATTGTTTTGAGCAAGTACTGAAATAAATGACGACGACTCTTGAATTCAAGAATACCTTTTATCTAAAGCAAGAAAGTAAGTAATTTCTTACCGAAATCATGAGTCCGGTTTCCATGCCTATGAAAGAAACAACCAGAAAAGCACTGATGCAAATTAGGAAATCAAATTTGTCTGTCTTGAACAAGTGATAAGCCTTTTCGTACTCGATAAGCCCAAGCATTGCTGACATGATAATGGCAGAAAGTGCAACCAGAGGCGTATAACTAAATAAAGGCGCGAAGAAGAGAAGCACCAGCAGCATACACAATGACATTACTATATTTGACATTGCTGTTTTGCATCCAGCATTGTAATTTACAGCAGTTTTTGAAAATGGCCCTGTAAAATCATATTTCTATATTACTAAGAAAAATGCCCTTTTGGAGAAAAACGTAATAAAAACCGTCAACGTTAACTTGATCTGTGGTCGAGAAATAATGGTACAGTATGATTAAACAGATACCAGTGGTTAAATAGCACGACGTGAAAGATCCAACAATGTTCATGAGGCCAAAGGCTATCATCTCCTTGTTACCATCAATCTGTTCATTTTTTGCAATGGCAAAACTTCTTCCAATTGCTATCCCTTCCTGTAACAATTTTTTTAATACAAAAATTGAAAAAAAATCAATTCCTAATGAATAAATGGTGGAAATAAGTTATATTATATACAATTAATCTTAATAAATGGGCAGTGTACTTACAGCAAGAGCTATCAAAGCAGTGATAATTCCAGTTTTTAGAGGTGCAGATATATACTTTGGATCAAAGTTTAGAAGTTGAATAGATGGATCATTTATTCCTTTGCTGAGATTACCCACCTTCAATGAATAAACAATTTTATAAGAAGGGAATAATTCCAAATTTGAACAATATATTCATAAAAGGGGAAAAACTACAAGGGCGTGCTTGATTAAATAGTAAAACAAAAAAGATTATATGATTTTTTTCTTCTTTTTCAAATATCGTTTTAGGACCCGCCAAACTCCACATTGGTATGATATTGTTCGCTTTGGGCCTGGACCCTCACGAATTTGTTTTGGATACTACCCGAAAGACCTCATACCAATGAAGTATTGTCCTACACTTATAAACTCATCATATTTCTCATGTCTAGCCGATGTGGGACTTCATTTACTCCCAACATATCGTACGATAATGTACGGTATACCTAATGAAACAAGTCATAATTGATACGTTCTGATTTTCTTGACTTGAAAATTTAAGCCCATTTACTTTTGTTTTGTAAAACTTTTTAAATACTTACTTCTAAAAAATAACCCTCGAAGTTGAGTTTGGTAAGGATAAATTCAACATTGAATAAATATAAAAATATAGACCAACATATAAGGGTTTAAATTACTCATTTTAATAAGATTGATTTTTTAAAGATGAAATCTCAAGTTTTAATATAGTACCAAAATCTATCAAGTTCCAATGAACAATTCAATCCGAATAAAACTCAAAAAATGAGCTCGCAGATTCAAGATTAGTTTGCTCAATCGAGCCACTATCTTGCGAGGTCATGTTAAAAGATAAATTCCACATCGAATAAAAATAAAAATATATACTAATATATTAGAGTTTGGGCTACTCTCTTAATAAGGTTGACGTTTTAAGATGAAAGTCCAAATCATAATACAGTTGTGTTCATTATACAAAGTCGGATCGAGAAACGCATCAATATTTGAGGAATATAGAAGAAAATATAATAATAAGTAGAACTTAAATGTATATTAGATGACTCACAATTGCAATGCCATGTTTCTCTGCATGAGTAAAATAAGCAAAAAGGCATCCAGCAACGACAACCACCATTGGAGCAATGGCTGACACCCAAAATAATTTAGGTTTCTTATTTTTCTGCACTTACACAATTTAATTATAGCATAAATAATTCAATTAATTCACATCAAAATTATATTTTTATATATGTACTTGTGTAAGTGTTTGACTTACCACATATCTTGTGATTTGGAGGAAGACAAGAAATATCACACCTATCACAAAGGAATCCCATTTCCACTGCAGGAAATAATGGTCACATTTGATAATAAATATGTTACTTCGAAAATTTAATCTTATTACTAGTAACTTATACAAGAAGCTTAATTAAGTTGGTATGAAACTCATAATTTTTGTTGAATTTGGTCGCTCAATTCATATTCATTAGTTGGAAAAGGTGACGACTCGATTCAACTCAACTATGACTACACCGTCACGTCAATTTGTCCATCAGCAATTTGTCTATCCTTCAAATTAACGAAGATGAATAGAGTGATAAAATTGTTACAAAGTATGAAATATAAATATATGTGTTTGTATGTAAACCTCGTCTCTATGGCTGAACACGGCATGTAAAACAGGAACTACACCAGTTTTAGTAGTAAAATGATGCAACCCAAGCATTCCTTTGAGTTGCTGCAGGCAGATAAGTAGTGCTGTGCCACCCATGAAGCCCAAGATAGTTGAATGTGAAAGAAAATCTACCAAAATGCCCAGTCTGCATAGCCAAAATTAAACACGTACACCTGTTATATACTAAGTTGCATGGAAATCGAAACCTGGAAATTAGACACGGCACGACACGACATAGTAAAAGAATGTCCATAACCTTTATCAATTACCTTAATACTCCCATAACTGTCTGAAGCAAACCAGAGAAAAAAGTGGCTGTATATACAAGACCTAGGTACAATTTAAGATCTTCAGTGGGAGATACTTTTTCTCCTATTGTTTCTGCTATGAGCAATGAACAAGCTGCAACTGTTCCTACTGCTAGATTTTTTGAACTCCCAAAAACAGCATAGATAAGAGGGGGCACAAAGCTTGAGTCTGCACCACACACAAAATTGGAGAATGTAAATTACATCTATTAAGTTAGTCCAAGTCAATCTAGTACTTTATTTGCTCGTTTGGTAACGTGGGCTGTACAATTGAACTTGGAGAGTAGTAACGATACTCTTTAAAGTTATCACGTCCTTTTGTGTAACATACATCCATTCTATAAGTTGAAAGAGCAATTGGCCGAAATCTTTATTTGCTTGTTTGGTAAGGTAGACTACAATATAATAGACACGATTAGCTATTAAAGAAGAATTTTGTCTATTCGCTCGTCAATCATAACTAATACTAGCATGTAACTTGAAAGCAATTTAGGGTGGACTAAAATTTATAACTAATAGATTTTCCAAAATTTTTTAGAACTTTTTAGGGCCAATTTTATGAAGTAGAAGAAAAAAGAAAATTTTGGAGAAGTTTTATGTTGGGCTATAGCCAATTCTTTTTCAACACTTATGAAGTCATAATAATGGTATAACTCGATATAATACTGCATGCTAAACATGCAGTAGAATATTGAGAATATAATGAAAGAGCCATTGAAACTTACAAAGGCCAATAATTGGAGGAAGTCTGGCGAGGTTCGCGTAGCTGATGCCTTGTGGTATTGCAAGGGTGGCAATGGTGATACCAGCAAGAAGATCATACTTGAACAGACCAAAGTTATATTTTGGCAGCCATTCGAATATGGGAATGAAATATTTAATCGTTTTCCTGGTTCGACGAGTGCATGGCTCATTCTTCAACCAGCGAAATGGATCGTCGGGAAAGAATGTTTCTTTACACTTGGATTTGAACACAGTTCCAAAGCTTCTACTGTTTTCATAAATCACCTTGTTATGAAATTCAGGTGCTGTCATGGCTGTGCTGGTTTTGCTTTTAGATGGAGGGTTTACACGGTATTTCTTATCTATATTGATGTCTTTCTTCTGTGTGACAATGAAAATTTGTTAGATATAAAGAGAATGACATTTTTTTTAAAAAATTCTTCTTTCTATAAAGAGAAAATAATAAAAGATTTTCCATATTTTTAACATTTCAAGATAAAGATGTTTCACAATCTCCTTTCACAGTCTCCTTGAAGCAAGATTTGGATAAGTACATATAACTAAGTTGTGACTCATCAAATTTTTCGATAATGTGATTTAACATAGTATCAGAATAAAATAAAAGTTACATAGCCATTTATTAAAAACTTGTCAATGTCAGATTTTTGACGAGTATACGAATTCACTTATATATGCATGAGCACATCTTAAGGACCATAAATATAGTTTTTAAAACTTTTAGATGAAATGATCGTCAAGTGTCAAGTTTCACGATAAAAATCTGTGGCTCATAACTATTTCAGCACCCAAAGTGAAAAACGATGTGACCAACCTGCCTGAATAATCACATAACAAATCTCATGAAAGACAAAATCAAAAATTATGAACAAATACTATAATCCTCCCAAGAATGTCATTAAATGAAGTGTTTTGTATTGAAACATTCTAATTGTTGAAAGAAATTATAAAACTTATGTAGCATTGTATTGAGACATGCTAATTAAGGTTTTGATATACTTACCAAAGACTCTTCGGATATGGTTAGATTTTGATGAAGTGTTAACGGCTCTCGAATGTATCATAAACACTCGGTTAAGGAAAGAGGCCACGATATCTTGTAAATCTCTCTCGACCAGAAAATTGATTATTGATCTCTTCATACGATCACATATGAGGAAGATGATCGTGAATAGAAACTAGTGATTGATATATCAGAAATCCATGTCGACTTAGTGGATGTAATCAAGAACCAAGACACAAGAATGGATAAAAGTTGAAGGAGAGAACAATTATGTGTGTACTGTTGAAAACTAATACTGAAGCGGAAAAATAGATATAAAAATTAAGAAAGTTTTGTATTGGATAAATTTCACAATCCTTGAGAAATGGACAATAGATGGCTCTTATTCAAGAAAGTGAGAAAAATACGCTTTATGATTAGCTTCGAATGGTTAACTAAATATGTTCAAAATGGCATATTCTTTTTATCCTTTTTTTTTCTCTCTCGTTATCGACGAGAAAAGATAAAAGACTTCTCGATAGATTCCTCCCTTCCGTGAAATATCAAAATTAATCTGATCGTTATTAGAGAAAAAACGATGAATAAGTCTCGTAACATTCCTATAAATAAAGGGAGTTCGAATAAATAAGGCTTGTGCTCTTATTTATTTTGACTTTTGTATGAGCAAGTTTGCTAAACTTCAAAAGAAAATAAAAAAAATAAAAATGTTTAAATAATTTACTTAAGGATCTTTTTACCAATCAATATATTTTACATGTTAATCTTATCCCTTAATTTAAGTCAATATAATGATCCACATTTAATTTAACCAAATCTTCTAAAAATCTCAAAACCCCAATCCCTCCACTCTACCTTACCTACCTTATCTAATAGAATACATAAATAGGGAAGCATTCTATCACCCTTTTAAACTCAAAATTATTAATTTTTACAACGTGACGGGATGTAGATTAAAAAAAAATAAAATTTACTATCCCATTTAATTAACTTTTATTTTTATTTTAATATGATTTCAATAAAAAAAAAATCATTTTGAGTTTAATGGTGACACTCACCTATTCATTCTCATCCACAATTTTGTTCCTACCGCTTTCTTCTTCTTCTTCTTCTTCTTCTTCCTAGAGGTCAATTTGTTTGTCAGTAAATATAAAAAGATAGATGATGTTTGTACTGTCCCATCGCCCCTCCTCCACCGGAACTCCAATGGTCCCCATTCCTTCAAACGCTCTCTCAAAATCTAGAAAGATTAGCCTCTATTTTTAGAAAATAAAAATCAGCTGCAGCATGGTCAGCCTAATAGTCAACAAGGCATGCACTTCACTTCACATCGCATCCAATTATGTTTTTCATGAAAGGACCAAGCTCATTGAGCTTGATTTCATCTCATCCATGACAAGATTTAAGATGGAAGTATAACCACTGGTTATGTTAGTAGTGGGTCACAAGTTGCAGACCTCCTAAGTAAGGCTTCAAGTTCTCTTATTTTCTACTCTCATTTGCTCAAGATGGGAGTAGAAGATAGGGCTATTAGAAAATAAAAATCAGCTGCAGCTTAGTTAGCCTGGCAGTCAGCGAGGCATGCACTCTCAAGTACACATAGATGACAAGCTGGACCACAAATTGAAGAAGAAATCTAGAAGGATATAGCATCTTTTTTGTTATATGGTTTTCATTTTTTTTTTATTTGTTTGTAATAGAGTTAATTTGTATAGATTTCCTTGCTAAGCTGCTGTATATATAGTTTTCGTTCAGGATGACATTTTTTTCATTCTTTCTATATAATGTAATCAATCTGTAAAAGGAGATGATAATTTTCCTTTTCCTTTTCTTATACTATTAATCTAGATTTTCAACACAATTAAAAAAATAAAAAATAAAAAAATTAACACCTTTGGGTCTTATTTTTTACATCAACTCTTCATTTTCAAAACATCGACTTCTTCTCATCTTCTCGCCATTTTAATCCAACTTTGGGCTTTATCCTACAAACATGAAGACAATCGAATAGCAATATAACTATACTCCAACATCTCGAAATACTAACGAAAAACCATTATAAATGAACCTTATCGACTATTCGTGCAGATGGTCTTGAATTTATAAGAAGAATCGACTACTCTATCTAATATAAGGACTGACCTTTATAGATGGTGCCCCAATTACCTAACACTTCGAATATTTATAACAACAATATATTAGTTGAAATATATTGTCATTTCTATATTGATGTTTGTAGTCGAATTTTTTAAAGAAAAGTTTTGTTTCTCATGCCTCTACTAATGATCGAGAGCATTTTATTGTCTCGTTTATCAACTCCTATACTATCGTAACTAGTGATGAGATTGTTTTTATATTCTTCGTAGCAATTTATCGACATCAAATTTATATTACTTTCTTGATCTTTGAGATAAGGACTCTTCATTTTTCAGAATTGAATTCCAGTACGACCTTTCATTTTCAAAATCAAAATTTCAACTGAGTTGAGATGGAAAAATGTCATGTGCATTGTCAGTGTGCTCAAGAACCCAAAATTATCCTAGAATTGTAGATAGAATTTGAAATCTTTATCAAATATACGACACCCTATAAATAGACTATTCTTTATTATGGGACCAACGTAGGTAGTAATTTAGAAGGAAAATAGAAAACTCAAAAATTAATGTAAGGGAATTTTACTTTCCTCTAGTTAGACAAAAATATTTGAGTGAAATTAGTGTATGCATTTTGCGTCCGAAGTTTCGAACATTGCTCGTCGATATGTACTCTTATTTTCGACCTTTGTCTTAAACCAGACTTCTAGCTTTTGTTGTAACATTTAGCCCCTGTTTGGTTCGGATAAAAAATAAATTTTAGTAGATTTTAATGCGGTTGGTAAAATGTATGGCTAAAAAGTTGATAAAATTTGTGAATCTCATTAAATATGTGGTTAAAAATGAGTTTGGAGAAAAAAAATTATATTTAAAAATGAGTTTGGAGAAAAAAGCTTAATATGAATCCAACCGTTAGTAACCATCCTTTTTAACATATTTAAGTCTCGTGTGAAACGACTTCTACTTCCCTTTTTTTCCAGAAGAGTTTCGTGAGAAGAAATTCAGGTCAGGTTAGACAAAACACTTTCAGAAAATTATTCAAATATATTTAAAAGTAATGTCTTAACCTCAAAAGTAGATTCTGACTTTTCGAAAGCCCTGTTACCCGTGTTCTTAGTGCGTTCATCGATAAAGAAATAAGTTGTACATAATCTTAGGGTCTAAATTATAGCTGAATTATGCTGTAGAATCATACAAAACCTGTCACAAACATTAATGTGAAACAATTATAACTGTTGACAAATGACATCTCACTATCAAAGCTTTTTGTCAATTAAAAAGTGGCTCCAAAGTCCAAACCCAAATCTCTATATTCAAACAATTCAAATCAGTCCTGCCTATTGATTCTATATACGTATAAAATGGACACCTCATTAGAATTTGTCATCGTATGGCTTAATATAGAACCTATTACCTTATCAGTATTGTATTATAGCCAACAGAAATTAACGTTATTTAATAATAGTATAATATAGATGTTTGTTTAATGGACAGGGTGTTTGTTGTGTTCTTTAGCCGACGAATATTTTGTGTAAATTCATTGGATTTGGTTAATAATAGTACAATATAGATGTACATAACTCATAATTTGAATACCATATTTGCTTATTTTGTAATTTCTTAACTTAATTTTATAGTTTGGATTATTTGTCCTTAGGCATGAAGCCAAAATCCTAAGAGTACTGAGACATTTGACCGTTCTGTCCTAGATCCTAATCCTAATATAATAAAAATTTCCCTCGTATTAAAATTCGAATAATTTACAATAATTCCATTGGTGATTAGGGATGAAAAATCAAAGAAAATAGTTGTTTTCAACTTCAATTAGGCTGGTCGAGTTGCCCTTTTGCCCCGCGCCTTTTTCGTACTTCGACAATTTCATTTTCGGATAATTTTTCATTCTAATAGTGAAATACGGGTTTTCTTCATCTTACCTTTTTTTTCCATGGTTTAGGGGATATTCAAGTGCAGAAGTTACTTACCTGTCTTGTCCATTTAGGATTGGGCTTCAATGTTGCGATTCAAACCCTTGAGAAACTTAAGTTGAGAATTGGTAGATCGTTACGGATAGTATCGGTTAAGGTTTTTTTCTTTTTTCAAATATTACGATGCCAAATGAACTAGAAGGCGATCAAATATAGCCAAATTGCTCGTAAATCGTAAATAAATTACAAAGCCAAATTACACATAAGACACAAACAAAGCTTCCCAAATTTCAGAGAAAACTTCAATAATGACCCTATGATGATGATATGAATTCAAAGATAGAAAACACTGCAACAAATTCTCAAGTTCTTTTGCTCTAAAAATCTGCTTCTCCACAATCATTTCCACCATAGATGTTCTAAAATCAGTATATGGATCACTCGAACGCTTCACCACTGCTAAGCTATCTTTAACCCCTTCTCGTAACGGCATTAAACCCTCCTTAGAAATCTTCCTTTGAGCTCTTCTCGACCGAGCCCCCGCCTTTAAACCGTTGCTGATGCCGCATTTTTCAGTAGTGAATTCTTCTTTGTCGCGATATTCTGAAAATTCGAACCTTTTAGTCTTCGAACTCACCTTCTTGTTTGAGCTCTTTCTAGTCTTCTTCTCTGAATAAAACTTTTGGAACTCGAAGGGTGTATTGAAAGGTGAAATAGGAGATACTGGAGGGGACTTTCGACCCTCGATTTCAGTAGAAACAAGAAGACATTTTCGCTCCTCGGATAATCTTTCGGGCCATTTTGGTCTGCAAATGAATGGAAATGGACGACGAGGTGGCGAGGAATGTTGGATTAACTGGTAGTGTTGACGACTATGTGTCTTAGGAATAAAAGTGGGATCGTCAACGTCGTCGATGGCGTTTTTAGATTTGCACGAGATGAGGGATGATCGAAACATGCTTAAGAATCGTCTTTTGAAGTGATTCTCCATAGGGTTTGACAGTGGAGAAATTTGGTAAGTTCTTGTTTCAACAGTGGAAGAATTTATAAAGGAGAATTTAAATTCATGCGAGAAGGGGATGGGGTGGTCACGTGGGGAGTACATTTCGACTTTGGGTCATGTGATTAATTGAAAAACGATTTTTTCGAAAAAAATATACATAATTAGAAAGTGAGAATGTGTTTGGTAGGGATTTTTTGGAGGAAGAATTGATTTTGAATAGTGATATGATGGGAAATGTGTGGTTGAAAAAGAAGATAAGATTATTGATGTAATAGAAAATATTATTTTATTGAAAAATGTGTGGTNGAAGAATGTGTGGTTGAAAATGAGAATTGATTTACTGTAGAAAATGAAAATCTGTACCAAACAGGCTAACTTATGAAAAAACGTGAAAAATAATTTTTTTCTTAAATGTACAATTAAGAATAAGTGTGAAAAAAATATATTTTTTTGCATAAATATTGTCAAGGGCCTGTTTGGACCGAATTAAAATCTGATTTAATCAAAATCAAACAATCAATATTAATCATATTTTTCATGGATCCCACATCTTTTCAACCACACATTTCAAAAACTTCTATCACAATCTATCAAAAATCTAATTTTAATCCACACCAAACACCTTCCAAATATGAAACAACTACGTGGACCTAATTTAAAAATGAGGATGACAAACAAACTTCATCCCATTTTTGTCTTCTCTCTTGTCCACAATTAACTTACGTCAATTTCATCGACACCAAGAAGGCCTACGTTGCATGATCGTGGGGTGTCAGGGTAGGTTATGGGCCTCGTTAAGAGAATTTTTTCAAATCTTTACGTTTTCGTAAGTGATAGTATAAGATTTTTTTTCCCAAACATGATCTATGAGATCGTATGTAATTTGAAATGAATCGGGAGTGCACGATGGGACAGTTGGTCTACTATGCCAAGGTTTTCTTTGTATTGATATTCAAGAATTGGCTTCGCAACTCTAGGCTACAAATGAAAATTTTCAAATTACAAAACAATTAAATCGAGATTATTATAAATATTTTGGTATAATCAATCTTCAAAACATACTTCAAGTACGTTTGTATACATGATATCAGAGTCATTCCTAGCAATATAATACGTTACTCGAACGTTAAGAATTTTATCTCTCTCGAACTCATCTCAAATATAAAGAGATATTTTACGTCACGTACTATAATAATATCCTTCATGTTTAAAAATGACAACAAACAAAACTTTTCATTAAATACATCAATAATGATCAACGTTGATAAAATACTGTAATCATGGACATTTCGCTTTCTTCGTACACCACCATCCCGAATCCCTAAAACTCGACCCGACACGACTGGATGGAAATTAAGCTGTGGATCTTCTCGTCCCTCTTTCAAAATTAAGCATCTTCCAATTCCTAGTAGCTTCCAAGTACTAAAAAACACATTTTAAGAAGTGCAATTTTTGTTCCTTCTTTTCAGAAGTCCCACCAAAAGCTACATGACATTCGCAGATTGACCCAGATTTTAAAGCTACAGTTATCTCAATGATAGCAGAAAATGTCAGTCTACTTGATTTTTTACATTGCATGGACCAAAATGTCGGGTTTAACACAAATTTGAGAAATAGAAGAATTCCTATTGTGAGAAAAGAAAAAAGAATTTTAGTTTGACAATATAATTGAAATATTGCAATAAGATAAAAGATTTTTTTTTTAATTTTTATTAAGGAGATAAATCAAGATGTTAATTTCTAACAGAATTATATTGACGAAGAGAAATTTTTGCAATTAGACGAACTCCAAATGCAATAAGGAAAGAATCTTACCACAAGAATTCAATGGCCTTTTCAATAATTGTGCTTGACACCAAGGTGATATGAATCGAGTAGAGAATTACGTGCATCTAAAATTGTGGGAGTTTAGAGAGATATAATTGCTAGTGAGAAAAAAGGGAAAACAAAATAATGGTACAAACTTGAGTATGGTATGTTGATTGTTCTAATTTTGGATAGAGAGAAGTTGGTTGAGTGGCAAAAATAGCACTCTTCTCATTTCAATTTATACAGGCTGATTTTATTTTTTACACGGATTAATACATTTCATTTAATGTTATTGTAAAATGAATTTTTGCAAAGAATTTTCCTAGTTATCCCTATTTAATTATCAACAAAGTATTTAAAAATAATGGCGATACCTAAGCAAATTAAATACTGTGAACCACTTAAACTTTAATCCCTTCGAGAACTTTGTGCATGCATTTCTATGTTCTAATAAACATAAATCGTAGCTAGATGTGGAGACTTTTCTTATTTTTAAATTTTTAATCATTCTAAAAATTATTTAATAATTAAAATAATAAATACCATATATTTAAAATTGTAAATTACTATATTTTGTTTGCTAACTCTTATAATTAGTCAATTATGCAATTTCTAGTTTTTGAAATGTAGAATTTAAAATATTTGTCATAGTTTAATTTTTCAACTAGATAAGTCATATTTAATAGATTTATAGGAATTTTATACATGCTTTCAGAATTTTCAACAAAATGAAGAATTTCAAAATCATAATTACATAATGTTAATAACAACTTAACTTAAATTTTATTTAACTTTTTATTGGATAAAGTCATTTTTTTTTTTTACTTTTGTCCATACAAAGTTTTTTTTTAAAAAAACTTGAAATTAAAGTCAAATAAAATATATTTTTTCAAAATAATGAACTAAAGTCAAATAAAAGAATTTTTCAAAAAATAAAAAAAAATTTAATAAAGAGAGCATATGGAAGAGAATAGAGTGGAAGGTAAAAATTCAACTGTTTAGGAATTGAAAACAAAGGCGCCTAAACCTGAAGCGAGATGTTTTGGCCGAATTTCGAGCCTAGACGCTACTTAAACGAACTTTTTAGAACACCGATATATTTAGATTATTCCAATAAGTATGTAAATTAAAATCTATACAATTTCAAGATTAAGTGAGAAAAATTTATTATAACTAGGTAAATTAAATATACCATATAATCATTAATTTGTTTTATAAATACTTTATCAATAAAGAAACATGATTATATAATGAGACAAAAAAATAAAAAAAGTCAGAATATATAAATGAGACGAATGGAGTATATTATAATATTTCCTCAGCTAATAAAGTATTCTTCTCCTTTGGTTGTTAATGATTTGTCGAACTACATTTAATTTATGTTTTTCTCTTTCTAGCTCATTTTTGGGTTTCTCGTTTTCCATTCGATAGGTGGAGATTTTTCCGTACAAGGTCTATGAGTCTAAAGTAAAGAGGAGGCAGTGGCGATGTTTGTGGCCGATTGAATTTTGTGAGTGATTTAGAGTTTTGAAATCAGAGTAATAGGGGTCTGGTTGAAATGGTGTTTATCGATTAACGGCGATGGATAGTATCGCAGAAAGGTGGATTTGGGTCGGAAATGCCTTGAGATTCTAGGCTTGCTTTTCATAGGTGTTTGTTAATGAACAAGGGATTGGGTTGTAAGGGTTAGTGAGTTTGGGTAGGTTTCAGGTAGTGGAAATTATATAAAACCAAAATTTAAAGTTCCAATTTTAAATTTCAAATATAAATTTTATTTATACAAAAATCAGATATTAATTCATCTCTATTTAAATTATAATTACCTAAACCCTAAAAATCGCAAATCATTTATCACATCTTCATTCTCTCTCTATCATCTTCTTCTCTCTCATCCTCCTCCTCCTCGTTTCTCTCATCTCCTTCTCTTTCTCTTCTTCCACTCATCCCTTTCTCTCGCCTATCTCTTCTTCCCCTTGCAAGGCTGACGTCGCTGTGAGTAGCGAGCAGCACTCCCAGTGATCACCGGTCGACGCTGTTGTAAACGGCAGCGTCACGATCTATCTTCGTATTTTTTTTTTCTTTGATGAGGTGTGCGGGTGGTTTGGGTGCAGTGGTTTTCGATCTACAAAGTTTTTTTCTGGTTGTTGGCATAGTGGTGGATCTGTGGTTTTAATTGTGGTTGGGTGGTTGATAAGTGTATTTTCGACACTTATTCGGGGCTTAAAACTATAGACTTTTATTGATTTTTTGACAAAATTTTACATAATTTATGTTATATTGTATTGTGTAGGTAAAACTTTATGTTTGATGAAGAATTGGAGAAAAGAAGCAAAATATGGTGAAAAATGGTAAAATCCAAAGTTCGAGGATCAAATTACAAATACTC